TATATATATATATATATATATATATGCACACCTTTTCCAAATGCATAGTGGTATATATATCTATATCTAGATATAGATATATAGATGTATATACCACTATGTATTAGTGGCGTTTCATTTTAATAACGGGAAAATGTGAATTTTGGGTTACTTTTTTTGGGTAACTAGAAAATTGGGGATTTTTTTAATCAGAGAAAAGTAGGATCCCTGCTAACGCGCCAAGAACACCTATAAGATCTTGACGTGACCGAGGCCCCTGTCCTAAGAAAGCGCATGCGCGTGGGGCGGTGCCTGCAGGCGGGCAGAACCTTCAGAACCCCTGAGGGGGCGGGGGCAGCAGCTGCTCCCCAGAAACCATGGCAACAAGCCCCTCCTCTGCCCGGCCCCCGTCTGCGCCATACTTCCGAGGTGAGAGGACACTTCCGCTCCTGCGTAGAAGGGGGCGGCAGGTCAAGATGCCGGAGTCCTCTCTGGCCCTGCGCTCCCGCCTCAAGCTCCAGTACCAGCTGCAGCTCAACGACCCTCACCGCCATGGGCTTGTCGTGCGTGCGGGGCCGGGCCGGGCCGGGGGTGGGGGCGGGGACCCCGGGGAGCACCCTTTCCGAATGCAGGCGCGGGCCCCGCCCCTCCCGCACCCTGGGGGCCCCAGTCTGCCCTGTGTCCTTATGTCTCCACCTTCCCCTCCATAAACTTACCTGCAGGCTGCTGGGGGACCTGCTCTCTACCATGCCTGGCTGCCAAGTACCTCCAATCAGCCTGTCTCCAGCCCCAAGCAGGTGGTGCAGGCTGGAGCTCTCCCAGCCTGCAAGGGGAAAACCACTGTTTCCCACGTTTTTCTCCTTCAAAGGGGAAACTCTGTTTTTCTGCAGCAAAAGGAAAACCTGGATCCCTGTACATGATGCTGGGGTGATAGTGGCTATGGTTGGCAGCATCTAGGGGAATCTGGGACAAATGCTGGCCCAGAGTCATTCAGCCCAGAACCAGGATTTGAGGCTTATATTTCAGGGCAGCCCCACTCAGGGTAAGGTGGTCCCCCCGACTTTTTCCAGCTGTTGTCTCTAGTACACATGTCCAGGAAGCTACTGTTTGGGGCCCTGTGGCCGTTTGCCACTTTTGGTGGTCTTCCAAGTCACCCCAGGCACTACCCCAACCCCACACATCTCTGTTGCAGGTGCTTGAGGTTGTGTAGAGTAGTGGTGCCTCCAAAGCTCATCCGAATGTGGCACCCTCCCCCCCTGCCGAGGTCCACCATTGAGCCGCATCAGCTGGCCCCCCTGGTTCTCCACTGGGGTGCTGCTGTAGCTGCCAAATCAATGTGCCCCTAGAGCCAGATCAAGAAGCGGCTGCAGCAGAAGAGGGTGCTCTCCTGCGCTAGGGTTAGCTGATATGCCTGATGGAAATTTGCTCTCACTGCAGCCACTTTCTGGTCCAGCCCTGCATGCTCCTTCCAGACACAAAGGCAGGTGTGCCTGGCAGTGGCAGCTCTTTTTTTTTTTTTTTTTCAAAGGGGCAGATTATTTATGTGCATGCCCTGCATTTTGTCACCTGCTCCTGCTGCAGTAACTCCTGTGTGAGGTGCACGCAGAGTACTGTAATGCACGTCCCTCCTGAAGGGGTCTTGTGGCTCTCCTGTTGAGAACCACTGGTCTAGGTGCAGAAGTTATACCAATTTACTGACAGTTTTACTGAGGTTGTGCTGTTCAGGTTTGGCTGCGCAGGTGCTAACCCCAGATGGACGTTGGCATGTGCTATGTGCATTAGAACATGGTACTTTTAGTTAAAGTTGTGCGCAGTGGTGCACAGGTCAGGCCAAAAGCTCTGTCATTCTGAGATCAGGGCACTGCTCTGTGCAGCCATGTAAACCCCATATCTGCTTCCCTAATTTTTTTCCTTTTTTAGGAAGAACTTGTGTTTATTCTCGCACAGGAAAGCTCTGTCCTAAAGTGTTACCTTAGCCTGTGAGGATTCAGTGAGATTTGAAGACTTCTTTTCAAGCCTCTTTCAGATTTCTTTTGAGAGGCACAAAGTTCTAGGGGTTAGCACACAGGGGTAGGAGTGGTCTGATCTGTGCTAGATTCTTTTTCTGATAATTTGCTGGTTGTTTGTTGCTGACTCAGTCATATTGCACTTCAGTGGGGAAGAAGAAGTTGAAGGATTGACTAGTGTAGGGCTGTACCAGGAGTTGATGTGCGATCAGGAGATAAATGCGAGTCAAAAACTAGCAAGTTATATCTGCCCTACCCTTTCAGTGGGTCTCCCTAAGAGCCTTGTCAGTGTAAACAAGGTTTAAATGATGAAATACTCTTGTTACTCGGCCATGTTGGCCAATACAAATACTGGTGTCTTCAGTTGTTTAAATGTGAGCTAATGAATCCTTGGAACCTCTTTAGGGCACAGGCTATTCCTTCAGGAATAGGCTTTAAGAAAAGACCAGGCTTTGGGGATATTACATGAGCCTGATGCTATATTATTTAGGAAGTGAAATTCCATTGCTTTGGTTAAGTGAGAGAGACATAAGATCCAGTTAATAAGCTTAGCTTTAGTCTCCTTGACTGAGAAACATAATAGGTGCCCCCTGAGATGTAAAGCAGGTTAACGTGAATCATGTTACAGCTGAGCATTGCTCACTGCATTTTCTTTCCATTTAGGAAGATCCTGCCTTGCTTCGTTGGACCTATGCTAGAGCAAACGTCTATCCACATTTCAGGCCCACTATAAAGACGTCCCTGTTGGGAATTGTATGGGGGGTTGGACCTGTTGTATTCTGGACTTATGTCTTCGCAAAACGGAGGGTAAGTTTAACCAGATGCGTACAGCTTTTAATAAAAAATAGAGCTCTTGGGGGCAAGAGTTCTTACTGGACTAAGAACATTTATTCCCAGGAGTACCTCATCTTGGTAGGGTAATGGAAAAAGAAGGAAAAATGTAATATTAGGGTGACTTTCCCAAAGCAGTAGGGACTGACTGCAAAGCACTTCTAGCAGTGCTGTTTATATGCTCATGACTGGAGGCAATTCCTTATTGGTCTGGGAAACTTATTTTCTGTCAGCAGCTGTTGCAGTGCTCTGTGTTATCTGGGCTTTTCTTAATGCTGTCTGTGTAAATAACTTCTGGTTTAAAATAACATTCTCCAGAAACTTCATTGACTTCTGATTGTTCTTACCTATTAGATGACAAATGAGAGAGTTTGCAACAGTCTGGTGCATTGTGATTTTTCCTGTCAGCGGAATAATTGAGGGAAGGTCTCTCCACTAAGCCAGTATTCCATTTAGTCTGGTTTTTTAATCTTTAGAGAAGCTTATCTTAAGTTTTAGAAGCACAAGGAGCTTTATTGTCATACAATTCAGAGCAATGTGAGATCCTTACCAGCGTGTTCAGTTTTTCAAGGAAGTGTGATACCTCCTCCTAAACCAATGCTATTACTCTTATCCACTGAATTTATGTCCATGTGGAACCGAGAGGGGGAGGGGAGGAGTGGTTTCCTTTCTTTTAAAAGACATGACCAAATCCTTGACCAAGAAGTGGAAATTTAAATTACACTGTCCCTTTAAAAAAAATGTAAGTCAGGTTCCTATGTGTTTAAAGGACCTATTGGTGGAACGTTCATAGAACTGAATTGCTCAAAAAGATTTTGTTTAACGCAGATATCTCTCCCCAGTGTTTTGTAACCCAAATAACCTGATACAAGAGAACTGGAAAATAAAACTGTCTGTATACAAGTGAAGTCAATTTGTGCTATCCGTGATGTTTAAAACTTTATTCTTTAGCACAAAACTGTTCTGTGGATTATCTTTCCAGTTCTTTTAATTAAGTTACTTCCTTTGTATAGTGTTGAGGCCAAGACAGTGAATTAAACCCCCTCCTCTCAAATATAAAGGATGAGAGGATCAGATCCAGAATGCTTAGAGCGTGAACTCTTTGGAAGAAGCTGCCTTGTGCTTGTTGTACAGGGCTGATGAAAGTGGGATCTTGGCTGACTAGGGTGCTTGGGTGTTACTGCAGTGCAAAGGAGAATACAGGCTTGGAATCAAGTGACATTTCTTGAAAACGAAATAATAATCAGTACAGTTTCACTTGAGAGAGAAAATGGACACACATTATTTGGGACAATTTTTAATACTAGTCAGGACAAAGCCCTGTAGAGAACATATTATAGAGAACAGTCCTCATTGGTCAATGGAAGTGAAGTAGATTATTGTTCTATCCTTTTTCTATTTTGGGGGTAGGAGCTTGTATGGTTTATTGATTTCTGTGCCTGGATGGATTGCTTTTCTGCCTGGCAGGTAAGAGGGAATGACTGGATATTTTGGTAACAGCTGGGAGAATAAAACCACTGAAGTATGTGATCTCTCCAGCTCCCACTCATAAGTGCACATGCAGTCTTTCAGCCTGAAGATAAGTTTGCACCCTGGAGTGTTTCTTGTCTATCATGGGATAGTAATTTTGTTTTCTTCTCAATGTAGGCTCAAAAAGAGAAGGAGATCAAGGAAGGCAAACGTGAGCTACTGGCTCATCTCAGGTTTTGAGTCTGGGAACTAGATGTTGCAGCGCTGTTATTGGGCCCTTCGTTGAATGTCCAGTATGTTGTACGTTGCTGAGATTTGATCCTATATAAAAAATATAAACTGTATTACTCTTCATCAGTCTCTTATTCTTAATGGTTGTGGGAACTGTGACTTGGTGCACAATCCTATGGTCTAAAATTGAAATTGATAAGATTATAGATAGGAATATATTTGGGAATATAAACCTGTTATTTATTACCTTGGATCTACGTACAGGGCTTCTACTTAATACATGTAAGTTATGTACCTATCTAAGTGCAACTTAGAATGATTATTTAAAGTTATAGCAGTCCAAAGTATGCAATGAGTCCAGGATTCTTCCTGAATGTCTGTCTCGCTTGCATGCTCATTGTTTCTGCCTTGGAGCCAGTTAGGCTATATAGCTTGCTCTAATCAAATAACAGGCAACTTCTGATGACAGGTTTTGAATAATTCAGTAGCTGATCTGAGCAGGTTAGGAGGCTGCCCGACTGCTTCCTCTCTGAGTTACTGCCTTGAAATGGATTAAATTTAAGTCTCCATTTTACTTAAAACCCTGGAGGCCCCAACCCTCTACTCTTGTAAATTTCTTAGCAATTTAATAGTCTATTTCCTTAAGTAAGGATTGGTGGATTTACCCCATGAACTGAGAGCTCTTACAGTGTGTATGATCAGCTACATTTCCTCATTCACAAGAAGCATTTAAGTAGGGGAACAAGGACTTAAAAATAAAATAAAAAAGGGTAGTTGGTCATTGCCAATTTAGTATATATATGCCACTCATATGGTTAAGGGCCTACAGACCAAGCCCTACGAGGAGAGACTAGAGAAACTGGATCTATTCAGCCTCCGCAAGAGAAGGTTGAGAGGCGACCTTGTGGCTGCCTATAAGTTCATCACGGGGGCACAGAAGGGAATTGGTGAGTATTTATTCACCAAGGCGCCCCCGGGGGTTACAAGAAATAATGGCCACAAGCTAGCAGAGAGCAGATTTAGATTGGACATTAGGAAGAACTTCTTCACAGTTAGAGTGGCCAGGGTCTGGAACGGGCTCCCAAGGGAGGTGGTGCTCTCCCCTACCCTGGGGGTCTTCAAGAGGAGGTTAGATGAGTATCTAGCTGGGGTCATCTAGACCCAGCCCTCTTTCCTGCTTATGCAGGGGGTCGGACTCGATGATCTGTTGTGGTCCCTTCTGACCCTAGCATCTATGAATCTATGAATAATCTAAAGTAATTTCTGGGCTCCATTGTTTAAGGATGGGGGTGGGGGGAGATAGAGAGGGTCCAGAGGCAGGTGACAAAAATGATAAAGGGATTGCAAGGCAAGCCGTACAAAGAAAGGTTGAGTGATAGGTATGTTTAGCTTGTATAAGAAAAGACTAAGGGGTGTGTGTGTGTGTTGGGGATGACATGGTAGCAGTTTTCAAATATTTGAGAGGTTACCATTTGCGAGATTAGGGAGAATAATTGATCTCTCTTGCTGCATTGGGCACTATAGGAAGCAGTGGTTGTAAATTGTGATGATAGATTTAGATTAGGTCTCTTAGAAAATTTCTTTCTTTTATTAGAATAAGATGGTGGCATAAACTGCCTGGAGAAATTGTAAAATCTCCTTCAATGTAGGTTTGTAAGAAGATGCTGGATAAGCATTTGATAGGGATAGTTCAGGAATAGTATTCCACCATTTGTGCAGGGGTTTGGACCAGATGTTCCTTGAGGTTCCTTCCAACTCTATGCTAGGGTCCAGCATCTGCAAAATGGGAATAACAGAGATCTCAGAAATATGCTTTGAATTTCTTGTGTAAGGTGGACAAAGTACTTTGGAAAGAAGGTGCTATTCACAGGCAAAGAACTGGCTTACAGTGGCTAGCAGAGAGAGAGAGAACTAGGTTTGTGCCCTTTTGCCTCCTTATAGATTGTGTATGAAAGCCCAGAAAAATGTCTTGTGCTTTTCCTTAACGTTACAAATACTGCTCTCTTCTGTCCTGCCTGACGAGAACTAGTAGGACTCTGAAAGGAGAAGCACCAATGGAGTGTTCATGAGGGAAAGGATTTTAATTCAGGCTGTCTAATTTAATTTTTTGTTTGGCCTCTAGATGCCATCACAGTACAGATGATAGAGAACACCTGTGCCTGTCAAATGCTTGGGAGAAGAGGACTGTCTTTTTGTATATAAATTATTCAAAGCGCACTGTCCCTTCACGTGAGGCCTGAACATTCTCCCAATCCATTTGTGTGACCAAAGGGCAAACTGCGAGATAAGACTTTACATTCTTGATGCTACTGAAGGGAAACGCAAGTAGCAGGACCCTCTGTATCAAAAAGGAGCCAGAGTATAATTCCCATGCAGTCCCCTTTGATGGAAATGGCTAAATATTCTGACCTTTGGCTGTCACCTTTCTCTAGTCACATCACACCTCATTCATGCATTGAGGCCCCAGTCACCACTGCTGGAGCTGTCTGGCAGTTCCCCACAGCTGTAACCTGTGTGATGTTTTTACAAACCCTCCTGTGTTCCCAGCTGCCTCCCATTTTCCCACTTGCTTAAATAACTCTCAAGACAGTTCTCCTTCCACAAGTGTTTCTGAAATGTCCTCACTCTCAAATGACATCACCAAATATGGGTATGGGTCAGTGAAATGAGAGGCCTCAGAGCACAGAGAAACTGGCATTTAGGGAAAAATAATTGCCTGTCTGAGCATGCTAAATTAACCACCTTCCTGCTGCCACAAACTAATTTGATCTCTCAGGACCTATTTCCTCAGCTAATTGGGACTTGAGTCGCCACACATGTAAATTCGCTCCTGCAGATGTATTTGTTTCAGGCCAGTTGAGCAAATTGTTTGGTAGGGGTTACAGAGGCATTACACTCATCTGGTCTTTCAGGGTGGGGCTACTGATAAAATCACTGCACCTGTCTGAGCCTCTTTGGGCATGTCCAGATGAGCGCACACATGCACTTTGCAGTGCCTCAAAGGCTTTTGAGGCACTGCAAAATGCAGGTGGCACAAGTCAAAAGGTTCCCAGCGCTGCATATTTGCTGGGTGGAGCCAAAATTAGATTCCAGGATTAAAAAACACTCAAAAAAAATAAATAAATACAAAAAATAAAAAAGGCAGGGTGGCACATATGGCTGCAGTGTGTGCTGCCCAAACCCAGAGTGTGACCAGCCAGAGCCACACTCCAGCTGCCAGCCAGGTTCCACATGCCCAGATCACCATCGCTGCAGCACTGGGAGGCCTCCCAGAACCCAAGTTAAGGCTGCTAGGGCCAGCCCAGGTGCTGCTATTTTTCCTTGGGGAAATGCACCTGCATGCTCATCTGGACATGCCCTTTGTACAATTAAAAGGGACTGACAATCTCTACTGATAGAGTTCAGTAGTTGGAGCTAGAATGTCCTGTTTACTAGTCTTGTTATTTTCAGACTTCTCCGAATGTTTCTTGAAAGGTGTGTGCTGTGCTGTGGGGGACTGGGTTGTTTCCTGGCTGGCTGTGAAGTGGCTCTATTCAGAGATGGGGAAAAGGTGAATTAGGATTAAAGAGAGGAGAGGGTTATATGCTGCAAAACTTCAGCATGTGTCCTGGCAACACATTATCACTAGTGTCAATTGATGCAAGTGCCTACAGCAAAAGACATTCAAGCTTGCTGACTGATTTGGACTAGTGTGAGTTAACTCCCCCCTCACCCATGTACCGTTTCAGCCCCTAGAGTACTTAGTACTAGTTTATCCCTTGGCCGCCTTGAATTTTCAGCCAGAGGCTTATTTCACTAAGAACAGAAAACTCAAAAATCAAAGGATCTCCAGTGCATCCTAGGTGGTAATACTCTGCATATTCACAGCGCCTCTATGCAGGGCTCTGGTTTGATGCTAAACCTACTGCTAGCAGTGTTTTTTTCCCCAAACAGAAGCAGCTGAGTCCTGGTTCCAACTGTTGTGCTCTAATTATTAGGTTACCTATATACCTCTCTCACTCTTGCATCAAATCATAGAACTTGCACCTCTCCCTCAAGATAGGTGATGCCAAACTTGTTCAACTGTTTCAGTCTGAGATTTGCACCTAAACCAGTGCTTATCAACCTTTTCACACTTGGGGCACTGTCCGTAAGTTTCCAGAACTTAGTGGCACCTAATTAAAAAACAAATATAGTATAAATATTATAAATGTAAGTGTATGCTATTTATCAATATGTTACTAATCAACTGTAATACTATATTATAAAATATGAGTAAAATATTACCCCCCTTTGGGCCTAGCTCTGCCTGCCCCACATATGTTCCCAGCAAGGCACCTGGACTCCCTACACATGGATCCAGTTTACTGCAGGTGACTGGGAAGTGGCAGGCCAATTTTGCCCTTAGCTATCTGGGGGCAATCCTACCTGAACTCCAGCCCTGGTGCCAAAATGGTGCAAGGGCAAGGTGCA